AAAAAAAAAAAAAAAAAAAAAAAAACAAAAAAGAAAGACAAACTACAAATACCACACCATTCTTTTCCCTCAGTTAACAGGAGAATCCGAGTGATGAAGAAATGGTTTCATGTTTTTTTCAAAAACAGATGGGGCCGCGGCCAGCCAGATGATATCGGCGCGATGAATCTAGGAGACGAGAAATTCGACCCTGACTCGGATAAAAAGCCGCGCGCAGGACAAATTCTATGGATCCGTGGTCTTACACGGCTACAAACACAGGTAACTATCCCTATCTCTCTCTCTTTCTCTTTCTCTCTCTCTCCTCTCTACTCTCTCTCAATCTCTCTTTCTCACTCTCTTTACCTATCTCTATCTCTATCTTTCTCTCATTCTCTCATGTCTCATCACTCAAAATCAATATTCTCTAGTCCTCTCTCTCACGAACAGAAAAAAAAATATCCACCGCCACCGATCCAGCGGGTTCGGAGCGAGACCACACTTTATTTATAACTTAAACTTTTAGGACTCTCTCTTTCTCTCTCTCTCATCTATCTATCTCTATTTCTCTCTTTTTCTTTCTTTTATTTTTTCATTTTTAACAGGACGCGCGCGACCACTCGACGTTCATCCACGTCGAACGTATGCGCACGCCCACAACTTTATTACGTATCACCACCACCGTACAAAAGTTATAATTAACCCAAAAATCCACTGTTACTATTACTACTATATATATTACTATTACCGCTACTATTACTACTATTAATACTACTATTACTACTCTAACTACGACGACAACTATGACGATTATGACGACAACAACAACAACGAGCTGTTTATGTTTTTCGACGTTACCTTGGTTTGCATTTTCATTTGAGTTCCACCGTTATTACCGCGTAGAGAGCCGCACGCGCGCGCGCGTTTTTCGAGTGCGACCGTGCCGACTTTACTGAAGTGCAATAAATAATCGTGCGACAGCGAGTGCCTAACAGCGATCAAACATGCTCGATCGATCGCTCTAACGTAGCAGAACCGAAGAGTCAAATCCAGCGGGGTCTAGCTCGTAAGAGCACATCCGGTGCGCGTAGAGAACGATCGCTGAAGGAGGAGCGGAGAGCCACGAAAATCCTCGCGAGACACGAAAATCGCTCGTTACTTTCTCTCTTTCTCTCTCATTTTCTTTCAGAGACTCGACACTTGACGCGTGTCTCTGCTAAAAGATTATTGCACCACATGCGCATACAGTGTTGCCACATGCACACATGTGTGCATAATGTGTATATAGACGTATATATAGACAGGCAAACTCACAGTCCGTGTAAGTCTTCGCCAGTAAGAAGCTAGATCCAATCTGTCAGGTAGGGAAAAAATCGGTAGGGAAAATCGGGCTGCGATATAAAAAGCGACAGGACGGAAGTAAATAGAAAAAAAAAGGAAATGAACAAATTAATAAAAACAGAAAAGAAACGAAGTGAAACGACAGACGAGAACGGTGAATCGCGATGCGATCACTCGAGACTCGCACGACGACCAGCGTCACTGATCGCTCGCGCGCACGCACGACTCTTCGTCGAGAACGACGCACTGGTTGACACACACACACGTGTGACATACACACACACGGAGATTTGTCGTAGTATACGCACGGATTATTGCTTGCTCTCCGCCCGTACCACCCCCTTGCCCCCAGCTCTATACGCGAATGCCGTAGACGCGGGGGAGACACGAGGGACGAGTTGGGATCAGGTGCGTTTCTTATCGTGGGATTTTCACGAGACGTTCGATTTTCACGAGATCTATATTCCTACGGATAGTACGATGCAGCTTCGTACGGATGCAGTACGTAGGTTGTAAGAGAGTGCAAATCTGTGGACATTGCGGGTTCAGAATTATTCCGCGACCCACCTGACCGCGATAGAACTTTCGTGCGAGTCGGACAGTAAAACGTTCATCTTGCCCCAACTCTCCCCTGGCGATACTTCCGCCCTTTCTCTTCCCCGTCTCTCAAAGAAGATCGCGAGTGTCGTGACCAATGCGTAGGGAGACCAAGAACTACCATCACAACTACCACTATCATCATCACCACCACCACCACCACCGCCACTGCCACGGGTGTTCGATTGAGTCGAGTTTCCCCGGCTACTTCCTTCATCGACAAATTTTTCGACTTGAGCACGTAGTGCGCGTATATATAAATACATTTATTTATATATTTATACATATATATTTTCATCTCTCCCCCCGTACAGCGCTTGCATCCACATAGTTCTCCACCAGAACCAACTTAGCAGTGGTCCACGCAGTCCTCGGCCAATCTCTCTTTCGTTCTCTTACATCTCTCTTTTTCTCTCTCTCTCTCTCTCTCCCTTTCTCTCTTTATCTCTATCTATCTCTATCACTATTTTCTATCTGTCTCTCCAGATCTCCGTTTGTCTTTTTCTCCCCGACCTCACACTCGATCCACTCGCTGTGCACCTGGTCCTCGTGATTATACGTCAGGCGCTTTCATCCCCGTGCGTCCTTTCAGGATATTCACCGGAATCCCCCGTGTCTGACCCTCTTCTCCAAACTCACTCCCGCGTACTCGCCGTTTATGCTTCGCCGGTCAACGGGCATTGGACATTATTCCCTCCAAAGGAGACGTTTATTTTGCAAACTGATCTCAAAGCTACTGCCCGTGAAGTAGCGTTCCGCGCACGTACGAGCGGTGACGTTAAGCTGGCTGTTAAATCGAGTCGATACAACGCGGTGTGTTTCTCTTCGCTCGCAGCTATCTTCTCGCGGACGTCTTTACACACTCCGCGACGACTTCGCCTCGCTTCTCACTGTTAAACAGGCGCCTTTTACGTAACGCGTAACGCCGCGATAACCCGCGTAAGCAGTCCTTGTACATAGTCGTATCTAAATTCGCTTCTTATAGAACTTGTAATTAGCCGGCGAAACGAACTTTCATTGTTGCGCAGGGCGTAAGACCGACGCGTAAAAGATTCATCTTGTCATTCGCTATTGTTCTTATAGCGGCCTTAGCTGCCGTTCCTATCGATTTCAGTTGAAGCGGGAAACTCTACGGTCGCGACTAAAGTAGACAGTGTCGAACACACGCGTTCTCAACGAAACGCGTTTTCGTCGCATTGCCCGATTCTGCGGTTGTCGTCGCCGCGACCATTGTAAATATTCAATTCGCGCTTATGCGACCAATTGCGCGATGATAATTGCGAATTTGGCGCGTCCTACTCGCGTATTCGGATGTGTGCAACCGAAGCATTAGAGAGTCTGGCGCGATTTCAATCACTTGCTCGAGAATTCCGAAAAATTATTCTTAACGCTGGAGGAACATGCAAGCTGTATCAATTGTTTCCGATGGAAAAAGTAAGCTGCACAGATCGCGAACGCCACGGACTCTTTAATTCGTACAAGTGCCTCTGACTTTGTCGTGGTAGCCGAAAGATTAATTTTAATGCAACAGAATATCGATGTCTGTCTAATCGTAGGTCTGTCTAATCGTTGGGCAAAGGTAATATCTATTTTCCGGCCTCGAGCGAGCTGAACGTGACTGCTTTGGTCTCAGTTGACTGAAAGGGGGAAAAAAGAGGGAACGTCAATAACGTCATCCTCCGGGTTACCGCGATTCCGTCGCACTACAGATGCGCGAGTTGACGTCATCGGACAAAACTGTACGAATTGGAAATGCACGATGCATATATGTCGTTCACGTTCAAGGCTCTCACCGATGTTCTCATGTATTATCTAACGTGGTAATCACCGCGGCATTTCAAGATGACGACATTGTCGTTGTTTTGGTCGTTTCTTCGGGGCGCCGAATTCTACCCTCGCGAGACGATCGTCCTTGGTCGCGGCAAGTTTCGGAAGGACGTTCTCGACGCGTATGTTTTTTCATCCTTTTATTCATCTCCGCACTCAGATCGAGTGAGCTTTAAGCAGGAAAAACCCAAAGCTTCCGTATTGATCGTCGATCGCGTTTCATTAAGATACTCGATCACAACTCGTATCTTGCGGAAGAATCCCCAGACACCCCAAGACACGCTATACGATGATTGCGCAGCCAATTATTTAATCATACCAAATAAATGCGTTTATCACGGCAACTTGTGCTATAGTGCGACAAGGAGAACGACATCGTTGGCCTGTTGCAACTGTTACAACAGGTACACGATGATACTTCGCACGGATACACGAGTTGCATTACATTACGAATTCAAGTTCAAACGAACTATTCGCGATGACACTTGTTTCCTCTCTATTTCACTTTTTATCTCTTTTTTTTCTCTCTCTCTTTCTCTCACTCTCATTCTCTTTCTCTCTCTCTCTCTCTCTCTCTCTCTCTCTCTCTCTATCTCTCTCTCTCTCTCTCACTATCTCTTTGTGTGTGTGCGTGTGTATGTCTCTATCTCAGTCTCTCTACCAATTGTTCTATACTCTATATAATTCACTTTACTCTGTTACTGTGTCTCTGTATTCTCTCCCCTTTTTTTCTCTCTGTTCGTATTTTGTCTGTCTCGCACAGTCAACGGTCGATAAGTGTTCAATCACACGAAGAAGCACACGTTTACGCGAAACGAATTGAACAGTCGAACAGACAATTAAGAGAAACTGAAAGAAAGATATTACATTAGAAAAGAAAAACGAAAAACGATCAACGAATCTCTCACTCATAGGCTAATGAAGTAAAACTAGAATGTGTCACCTACTTTCAGACGAGCAATAGAACTCTGGTGCAGAATGTATCTGTGACAGGCAGATCCCCTTCTCAGGATTACTACATGGTTAGTCCGCAAGTCCATTCTCCGCAAGTTTGATGATTGTTTGACCATCTTATAAATAATCTGATTAACCGTTTCTCTCTATTTATCTATATATATACATATATATATATATATATATCTATATATATACATATTCTCATTGTTTCCCGTTTTTTCTTATTTGACGTGTTGATTTTATTTGCGACACTTGATCGATATGTATTCTGTACTATAATTTCCTGCTAGCAGACTCGGTTTGCCTTTTGTGTTGTCTCTCTTTCTCTCTATATCTTTCTCTCTCTCTCTCTCTCTCTCTCTCTCTCTCTTTCTCACTCTGTCTTTCTCACTGTCTTTCTCACACATTCACTTACTCTCTAACCATGCCTCTTTTTCTTCTTCACTCGTACTACTATTAATACAGTACTGCTACTAATACTGCACTATACCAATACAGTATTACTACTGTACTATAAAGACAATATACGAAGTAAGTTTGGCGTAAGTTTGAGTAGGAAATAAAACTAACTAATTTCGCTTACGCACAAAGGTTGCGTCTTACAAAAGGGATACTTCCGGTGTAAGAGATAAGCGAAATGAATTTTTTTTATCTCTTACTCTGACTTAATCTCAGCTTATTCCGCATATTGTAAACGAGCTCTGATTTCTGCTACTCCTACTTCTACGACTACGACATCCCTACGACAACGACGACTACTTCTTTTACTACTACTATTTCTTTTACTACTACTACTACTACTGCTACTACTACTACTACTACTACATTACTACTACTACTACTACTACTACTACTACTACTACTATTACTACTACTACTACTACTACTACTACTACTACTACTGCTGTTGCTATTACTACTACTTATCTGTCTCTTTACACACTTCTCACAGTGTCTGCATTTTGTTTAATAGTGATTGCTTGCGGAGCGCGAATCTCGATTAATATTTTTCGGCCGACTGCTTATTATTTTATATTACATGCGACACAGCCGCATTTGTGGTTAATTCTAAACTGTCCTCCACAAAGAGGAAATGCCAGCCAATATATATATCGGCGTGGAGCAATTTGTTTCGCCATATGTTGAGACGCAGCCTTTGCCAATGATTATTATCACTGCGGCAGTTGTATATCGCTCCTGTCATTTTTGTTTTATTTTCTATATCATTGCGCCTCTCCGCGATTCTATCGCGGAGTACGATCGTATCGCTTCTCCCTCGTCATTCATTATCACACAATTTCCTTCGTCCTCTGTCTCCGTCAGCGAGGCGTTAATGGAACGTGTGTACGGTACACGCTACCGCAGCAACCGACAGTTGAACCTGACGCTAATCGTTGCGTACTCGCAGCCCGAGAGACATTGACGATGGCTTTAACGCTCTTCTGTTCGATGGACTATTACGATTACGACCGTTTTGGCTGCCGTCATACGCTTCTCGATTGTCTTCACGTCGCGTCTTTCTTTTCGTGTGTGTGCGCGTGTGTGTGGTGTGTGCGTGTGAACTCCCCCTCTTCTCTCTCACTCTCTGGACTTTCCGTTTTGTTACACCTCTCTCTCTATTTCGTTTCTCCTCTGACCCCTCGACTTTTTTCCTCCTCACTTACCTCTAACGTGTTTTGCATGTACGTGTATGTGTGCGTTTGTCGCGGAGACGCTCGTCAAATTCGTCCGTCGAAACGAGCGAGCTCCTCGAAGCTTCTCCAAGTGACGATCGGAGGTGTAATAACGACGCTACTGCGATGTGTGCTCCCTGTTCCTTGATGGATACGCTGTTCTCAGAGGTCTTAGTTAAGGTTGACTGAGGTTCCAGTGATTCCCGATGTTACGATATGTCTAGTCGCAGTTCTAGGCTCTGGACTCTCACCTCTAGCTCTGGTCCCGGCGTTGTCTCTAGGGACGGAGAATCGATCGAATCCCAGTTAACGTTAACTAACGTTCGAAGGAACGGCCTGCTAACACTCGACAAGTGTTCTTTCTTTTCGTTTCTCTATTTTTCTTTTATTCCTCCTCCTTTCTGACATCTGTGTTTCGCTTTCTAGTGTGAGCATCGTTTTTAATTTCCGGCGTACGACTTCCAGGTCGGCCGGCCCCTCTTCCTCTGCCCTAATTACTCGTACCGTGTACACTTCTCTTCTGCCTAATTACATCTCACTTTGTTTTATCCGTGTTCTGGTTACTTCGGCTGTGTGAAGCATTGTTGTGACGATTAATTAACACGTGATGTACCGATGTTAACATTATACCAATATACATTTGTATATCGATGTGCGCGCGTATGACATGTTTTTTATTATTGTGCGTTTAACGTGCACAGTGTTTATGTATATGTATATTCATATATATTGCATTGTGCGTGTTGTGTATCAATGCGAAAATATGTCCTGGGCGGTCGACGAAGCTCGGCCAACGAAGCGAAATTTCGACGGATTTCTTTCTACGTTCGCTTGAGGCGGGAACGCGCTCGATCGCGTTTTCCGCCGACCGTCTCTCTACTCTATCTCTCTCTTTCTCTCTCTCTCTCTCTCTCTCTCTATCTTTCTCTGAAAAAGTCTGACCTTTTGATCGTCCGAGTTTTGAGTCTCGTAATTTCCTCGCGTGTACACCGACTTTCGTTACGCGCCACTCGTATTACGAGAACGCGTATCGACTACTGACACCAATGAAAGACACACACTATGATACCAATTGTAGCGACAACGCACGTTCGCATCTGTATCTCTCCAAATTTCAAGCGTCTCGCACTGAGAGAAAAAGATGTCGAAGAAATAAAGAATAATTATCCGGTGGGGATGATAACAACATATTTACTTGTAATAATGTAAAATATTTTTTCAAGTGAGAGAAGTATACATTTTCTTAAAAGCTTTTCATAAGAGCGATTGTTTTCCTATCTAAACGAAAGAATATAGATTTAAGTGAATATGTTGTTAGTGCTCGCCGAATAAATATCTTTTCAATTTTTAGATATCTTTATTCTCTCATTGTAACCGGTCCCAATTGACTTTCAATTCGCGCTCGTTCGGGCGACTGAAGCCGGTGGCAAATACGAATTTCCATCTGTAGTGTCTCGTCTTTTCTGGATAAGAGTGTCGCTCGATAAAGTCACTTGGTAAAGACGCATTAGGCCTCGCAGAACCACCGCGGAAGTGTCTGAACAGTCGAAAGTCCAACTCCTGAAATTGAACGACATTTTACTAATGTTCTCGTCTTTATGTAAGGTAGAGAATATAGAGAGAATTATGCGATAAACTTCACGGTATATCTTCTCCAATTTGGTCTTAAGTAAGTTAAGTAATTAAATCCTCTCTAATTAAATCCTTAGTAAGTTTCCGCCGTGTCGTTCAGTCAGATACTATGTCTGACCAGTGACGGTTCTTTTCCACTTTGCGAGCCGGCACATCTCCAGCCGGGTGAATAACACTCGACAGTCTCGTTTCATTCAATGCGACACTCGGATCATAACGGACGTGCACTTTACCGTGTTCCACCGCTTCAGTCGTGTCTGGTTTTCGTCCTTCGACTTCCTGCAAAACTTTGTTCCGAGAGAGACAATCGTTTGCGCTCTCTATATCTCTTGCTCTCTCTCCCTTTCTCTCTCTCTATTTTTCTAACTATCTATCAGCCTACGTGTCCGTCCACTTACTTCTATCTCTCTATACTAGAAGATTGCAGCGCGAAAAGCGGCAAAAGAAAAAGAAGAGGTCTGCACGCAAACCCATTTTTCGACACGCGTGCGATACACACGCGAGCGTAGGTGTCAGAAGAGGAAAAGAAAACACACTCACACGTACGCATACACTCACGTACACACATATACACATACGCATACACGTGTACACCAGAAGAGACGAAACGGAGGAAACGCGTAGAGAGAGTCATTGTTAGCAAACGCCGATGCGACTCGCGGGAGGAAAGACGCCGATTACGCGCACGCTCGAAAAGAACATAGGAAAGAAAGTAGTACTTTATTAGCGAATGGTGAGGTGCGAGAACGAGACTGATGGTTGTGATTTGTGATTTGTTAGCCAGCGGAACCCATTCGAGAGACTGAGGTATAACGGGGCGGCAGTTTTGCCCGCCGCCACTTATCCTGTCGGAGTACAAACAAGTACGTAGCTCATGTAGATCGCCTGCCGTACATATATAATACGTTGTATAATCATCAAAACCCGCCAGATACGCGTGTACGCATATGTATACCTTATATATCGTCATACACGACGGATCGTCGACGTACGTAACACGTGTGCGTGCACGATGGAACATCTCGCCGTCTTGATCTCTTTCTCTCCCCCTCAATCCCCCACTGTCTCTCTTTCTCTCTCTTTCTCTTCCTCTCTTTCTGGATCGAGGATGGTACAACTTGGTTTACAGTTCAGGTTCCCGGTGGCACGAACGCGCGCGAAAGGGAGCTCTGCGTCTCGAGTCGCGCGTGCAATCGACGACGAGAGGACAAGAGCACTTTTTCGCGTGCCACTGTTTTTTTTCTTGCCACCGGAACTCGAATCTCTCGATCACATCTCCGAATCGCTAGACTGTCATCCAGAGACCATCCGAATAGTAACGGATGAAGACCCCGACAATGATGATGATTAGAATGATTGCGATGATGATTATGACGATGATGATGATGATTATTATTATTATTATTATTAGAAGGACGCCGACGACATGACACTCTCGCTATCGAGAGGTCGTCGCGCGTTTTCCCGGTCCGCGATGTCACGACGGCGACGATTCGATTCGATGCACGGATATATAGACATGAACGGATGTTACGTCACACTAATGTCGTTTTTTTTTTGTAGCGGGGTGTGGGGCGGTCGGTGGGCCCCCCGTCGTTTCTCGGGGACCACGACAGTACCCGGAGATCCACCGGCCCACCCGCGCTTAATTTTTTTTCTCAGTAGTATAGTGTCTGATGAGTGTGCTGTGTATTTCCGTTCACCTACCCCCAGGCCCCCGTCCTCTCCCCTTCATCCCGTCTGGCCCTCGTGTCGTGAACTTTAGTATCCGCGGTTCATCTCGGCGTGTCGCTCGTACGTGATAATTTAGCGAGCACTCCCATGCGTCCGTCCGTCCGTCTGTCACGTAGGAAATAATTGAACGTTCAACTCTTTTCTTCAGTTTGTTTTCCGTAACACCCGTTTGGATTCTGCTCTCTTGCGTAGAGAAAATGTCGTGTCGAATCCCTCAAAATCTCATAATATCTCAAGAGACGCGAATATGTTTCCTTTCTTTACCGTCTACGTACTGTTGTTCGTTTTATACTTTTCTTTTATATTTGTTTGGTACTTTAATTTTCATGTCAGGCTTTTTGCTTGTTTTGGTAACCGCAGAGAATACGTAGTTACAGCTCGCGTGATGTTTTAATCTGCACACATAACTAGTCCACGCGTCGCGTATGCGCGCCGGCAATACCGTTTCCGTGATAGATTCTGCCACGGTATATATCCTTTGATTAACTTAAGCACCTTTTGTTTTCTTTCTTCCTTATTTTTTATTTGGTATGGTAAACAAAACTCGCCAGGTGATCGTTGGCGAGCGTCTGTCTGCCCGTTCGTTTATTCATGCATAAATCGCGCTAAACCATTGATATTCTCATCAACGCGAGATTATATAAAATCAAAATCGCTCAATCCTCTTCAAAACCTACCAAAAGACGCCCTCTCGCACTCAAAAGCAGTCTTGCAATTTTGCCGGAAATTATCTAGACGCGAGAAATTAACTAAGATGGATAAATGATTAACAAACTAGCAAACTGCGATATATTTTGTATTTGATCAATATGGATGAGAGACAGAATTTCTGTCTGAATTAATTTTGACATTTAGCAAGAAAGTTTCTCAGAAATTGACTGTGACAAAAAGGTACAGCGGCGAGAGACAAACGAACGTTATACGTTCTTACATCCATTTGTTTGCAGATATTGCTAAAATGCTACTGCTGTAAATTTTACGTACAATATAGACAATTTTCTAGTAGATACAAAAAACAACGATATATTTCAACTGTGACACTTAAAGTGAATCAGTGATTAGTCGCTGATATCAGTTATAATTATAGCACTGGACAGTTTCAGTGCTATACTTATAACTGCAAATTAGTATTCATTGCTTTCAATAATGTTTTACTGATTCACTTTAAGAGAGTAGAATCCCACCTAGACTAGCAAAACATTTTTTTGAATGCGAGATAAGAGGTATCTTCAACGTATCTCATAATACATTTCAAATTAAGTTATCTTTTCTAATGTAATATACTTTACACTATCTAAATTTGTTTTTTCTGATAAATTGTCTAATTGTCTTGACGGAAAAATTTTTTCCCGTTAATTAATGATAATGGATATTCTTCTTATCAGAGGTTATGCGGGAAGAGAGAAATTTCAACTCGCGTAATTCGACTCGATGAGTCGAGATCAATTATGGTTTGCACGGTTTAAGCGTATTCATCATCGGCCAATTAATATTCAACGCTCAGTTTCGGAATTGTTTGTCGCGTGCGGAGAAACAAACCTAAAACGACCAATCGCAAATCCAGAATTTCCTTTTCACGTTCGATAAGAAACGCAGGTAGCTTCCGGTAATTCAACGCGTGTCTCAGAATTCAAGATGTTGATTGATTCTCGGCCTCTCTCGATCCAGTAAAGCTCTCAACACTCTCTCGGTCGGTCGTCCGAAGCCTCTCGCGAACGACGGAGTCGGCGAACGGACGCCGATGACAAATTACCCTTCCGTGACTCTGTCGGTCGTTATACATCATGCTACAACGAGCCGTAGTAAACACAATTTGCTTTTGAGAAATAATTTGAGGAATATTAGATCGCCAACAAAGTCGCAGGAGATCCTCCGCGAAAAATGGGAGAGTACTTTTTCTGCTCTCCTTTAGAGATTTTTTAGTCACGGAAAGGTATCATACTGTCATGAATCCAGTTTGAGTATCTCCTCTCCCCTGTTTGTTAGCGTGCGAGTGTGTGCGTGTGCACGGTTGGCGAATTTGTGCATCGATTTGATTTTCTGTTTGCCCGAAATCTAACACCGCCTCGTGTTTCGTATATCGAGTGCCAATTAGAGGATTTAACACGTTACACCATGTGGTCTGTGTTATTGTGAAAAAGAAAGGGTCTCGTCGGTCGAGCAATCGTCGCGCGATTGTCGGCATGCATTATCTTCCACCGAAAGAAAGAGACCGATTGCGATCATGAAGACTCTCGAAAGGAGAAGCTTCCCTCGCGTCTGACGTCGGGAAAGACACTGCCAGATCGAAGCTCGCGCGCGTACGCGGTTGAGAAACAATTATTTATTATCATTTTCGAAGAATGCAAGAGTCGTGAAGAATCTGTTTGACGAAATTACAGATTCCTCCTGATTATCAATCAGAAGGGAACGCAAAGGAAAACCTAAACGCGTGCATCTCTTGCGCGTTCTCTTCTCGAGTTATCAAGAGAGAACATTCCGCGTCTGATCTGGCTTTGACCGCAATATTCTCTCTCCACAAACAGAAACAAGATTAAACAAATCAAGATCTTAAACACTCTCACAAAGGTTACGAGAGAGACCATTTTACTTGCTCCGAATAGACTCTCCGAATGGAAGTGCATCTATTTAGTGATAGAACATGTCTGACTACAGCATCTGAAACTTGCGTAGAGATAGTACAAGGCCTCAGGCCGGATCTACAATAGGTATGGTAAGCCTTTAGCCTTTTGCCAAAACTGACATAATTTTTGGCTAAAAGCAGTTTCCCACTGCTGTCTGAAGTCGTAATCCCTAAGCTTTAAGCGAGCTACCCAGCTATTCCAGCTATTAGGGCACCGCGGAAAACGTTTTTTGTCAAAAATTACAGCCTTGAAGCAAAAGGCTATAGGCTTACTACACCTGTTGCAGACCCGGCTTTATACGGTGTTTAGAACACACGCACAGCGAAATCGAACTCGTTACATACGCGAAATACACCGCGACCCGAAGAGACTATGCTATATTCGGGAGAAATAATTCATCCCGTCTCTCGCTGTCATGAACGTGCATCACCTTGTCTCTGTTAGTGCTCCTTCGCTTTACTTACTACTACTACTACTGTTTTACTAATATTACTACTACCACCATCACTATACTACTAACTACTATTTTTGACTATTACTACTACCACTACTACTACTACTTACTACCACCACTTCATCACTATTACTACAACTATTATTACTACTGTTACTTCTACTACTACTACTCGTACACGAATTGCAATATCACACTATATCTGTCTCTGTCTGAACTTCTCTGTCTACCCCCAACACCCTGTTGACTCTCCGAGCCGTAGGGAGCGGTTACAAGCGTGCGAATGCTTCGGCAGACTCGCCCGCGAACAATTCAGGACTGTTGCGGACCATTCCTAATTGGGTAACTGTTGCAAGCCCATTTGGCGCGATGGCTTCCTGCCCGGCCGCAAGTCCCCCGCTCGTCTTTTCGCACCAACTCGCTAGTGAGGGGGTAGTCGTCGATTCGACCCTCGTAGCTCTCGTGAAACGTGTACCCCAGTTTTTAATAACGTTACGAAGTACATTACGACAATTGTACGGCCAGCCCGATGTAGGTACGTGCCGATCGGTGAGGAGCATCTCGGAATCGTCCAAGATGTAGCGCAACTCGATGCAGGCTTCGACGAGGCAGGCGGGAAGACGTGTTCGAGCCGTGCCAGGTCGCACGTTTCAGTTAGTCGCGGGAACGTGGCGTGTTCTTTCGATCAAGTAATAGAGTAACGGCAAATGGTTCGAAAATATGAGAACTCGCCATCGAAAGAGAGCGTCGTAATACGCGCGAGAGAGTTCCCGACGATCGTGTTTCGTTCCACTCCCAAGGTTGACTCCAACGTGAGCTAATCACGGTCGATGCGATCAGTCGTCCTTTTCTAGAACCGACTACTACCGAACCACTGTTGACGTTAATTGACGTTGTTACGGACATCCGGTGGTAAGTAAGCGAAAGCTGGCGGAAGTATAACTCCACGAGGAACATCTCAAATTCAAGCTCCTTCCGATTCGTCCTCCCGTCCCGTTTGCCGTTACTATATCCCCGCGTTAATCGTCCATGTTGACTGATAGATGCTCCAGCCAAGCAAGTAGATTGCAAATGTCGGTGATGTTCGTTAGCATCCTTAACACCTTTGTCCCCAGTGATGAAGGGATGGCTCTCCTTCACGAGGACGCTCGCGTCCTATGCATTCGGTCGTTGGTTCCCCTTGCCCCTTCGCCCCTCGATGATCACGAGTCCCAATCGCCGTGTGTAGGTAGGTACGCGTAAGTAAAGTAGATTGCGCATGCGCTGCCGGTTTACGTACGTAAATTCTAGTTTGCTCTCAGCGAGGTCGCGAGGAAATCCACACGCAATTCAGTACGTTTGATGTGCCTCCTCCGTGCAACCTGATTCACATTCGGTCAGTCCTGGTTAGCTCACGAATTCGGGTGAAATGCAACCAAGTCGACTACGATCGAGGAAACGAATATGTAGGAAGAGAACATTCGCGATACAAACGGAAACAAAAAAAAAAGAGAAAACTATAGAATAGATACACGTAAAATAACAAAAAAAAAAACGCGTCTGCAACCACTAAACATGACAACAGCCACGAGAACAACGACAGGACCAGTGTATGCTGATACATATACAGGGAACACACGAGAGTAGGAACGAAACCAGACAGAATGTACGGCGACGATAGCGAAAAGGGAAACACAAACACACGGTATGACGCACACTTCTTCTGCGCGAACGAAAAGAAACGAAACGAAAATATAGCGTGCTTGTGTGTTGCTGGCTTGCCTCCTCGCTTCCTGATAGAACGTCCTTCCCTGTTTTTGCAGCTTCGAGTAATCAGAGCGTTCAAGTCGACTCTGGAAGATCTGGAGGAGCGTCGCTCTGTCCATAGTTTACACAGCTTACACAGTATGCGCAGTTCACGCAGCCACACCGGGCCCCGACCACTCTCTGACTTCACATACATTGACGAAGACCCGACAAACACCGCGCAGAACGCCGCCAACAGGTCCTCCTGCAATAGGAGTGCCGAGCCGAATCAGGATTACGAGACAAACTACAAAGGATCCAGGATGCAGTCCCTCAACAGCCCCGCCTCGCCGTTGTTGCTGAGCGTGACTGGACCGGCCAACGCGTACAATCATCATTACACCATCAACACCACTACCGACAATAGATTCCCCTCCAGTAACGCCCTCAATCAGCCCCTGAGCCCCAACCATACGGCGCAGATGAGCAGTAATAGAGACAACACCGGGAATTCCCTGCTTCTGAGTTCCAACAATTTGGTGCTACCGGAGCTGACTAAGCTCGTGCACGAGACCAGCATCTAAGAACATTCTCTTTCTTTCTCTCTCTCTCTTTCTTTTTCTATCTCTTCTGCGTGTCGTCTCATCATATCTCCTTCCATTCCTTCCTGTTTCTTTTTTTGGTCGTTTTTGATCGTCATTCTTTCCCGCATTTTTTCCATGTCACGCTATTCTCTCTCGTCTCGAATCAATCTGTCTGTTCTTTGGTTCAATGTTTCCCTCTCATCCCGATCCTTCTTTTTTCTTCGTGACTTTTATCCATCACTCTTCTTCCTCTACTATGTAGAAGGATTTGTATATATTCTCCCTTCTGTGGTCTTGTCCTCGTACATTCCGCGAGATTTAGTCTCGCCCGATTTCGCCGTGACGAGACGGCGAGTGTTTCGTCGCGAGGATCGGTCAGCGAGGAACAGGGAATCGTCCACATGGACGACGTAGACGATACGGACAGTACACTCCCGTTCGCATTTCGTCCCCTCTCCCCCTCTTCTAAGATTTATCGTCCATATATCGTCTTTTTCCGCCACTCTTTCGCGAGGACGTACTTATCGCAACTTTGCTCGTTCCGGTCACTGAGTTTTCTGTCCCCTCGATTGTATCCTCTCTTTCTCTCTCTCTCTCTCTCTCTCTCTTTCTCGTGATCTCTCGTTTTCTTCCTCTGTGTTCCGTTCCCCGCCAGCTTTTCCAACTCTTTGCCGGAAATATCTCATCACTCGCTCAACGGGGACGGCGGAACTGTTTTGATCTCAAAATATCAAAACGCGCGCTGATTCAGAATACGCCTACACAGCGGGAACAAGGCGGGACATTCACTAGCCGTGTGCTACTAGAAAAGAAAAATCGAGGACAACGATGTACTTAACGCATAATGTTCGTGATATGATTGGGTTTGGGGGAGGGAGGGTGGAAGAGATATGGGGGTGGTCGCGTCAACGATCTTGTCGCCTGGGTTCTCATTACGTGGGTCACATTATTATACATATATAGATACATACAGGAGTCCTGCTTTTTACTCGCTTCTTCCTTATATTCGATTGTATCGGATGAAAGTACTGTTTCGTCTTTTAAAACAGCGGAAACTCACGCTGTTATTCACGTGAACTTCTTGGATTTTCTTCTTCTTTCTTTTTAACGACAATATAATCGCAGTGTACGAGTTAAGAGGAAACAGGAAAAATGTGAAACAAACGGAAGTGAAACAAACAGGAAAAATGTGAAACAAACGAAGGTAGTTAATTAAACATTAGTTTGGCATTAACTAATTAACATTACTCCCGGCAGCAAGACGTTATTATCTAATAATTTGATCATACATTTTTTGTTCTTGGTTTCAAGTAACTTAGTAATTGGGGAAATTGAGGGGTCTGGAGGGGTTTCAAGTGTCAGCGAGAAATGTGGCTGAAGAAAAATAATTGAAGAATTCGGCATTAAAATTGCGTGGGTAATATTGTATTGGGAGATTGCGCGCTGGACATGAAAAAAATGGAAATAGTACTTCACTCGTCCTTGAGGAAACATAGACAGCGCTTAAGTGCTTATAACTGACCTCCTCCCGTACAAACGTTTACTTATTTACCTTGCATACCTATCTACTTACCCATATACTTACACTTACCGACCAATAATTGGTGATAAAATAGCAGTCCACTCCAGTGGGATCTTCATCAACAATAATTCTTCGCAGACTAAATACAGACCATATAGGTTGAAAAGCATGTTATCTATCTAATATCTACACTGAGAAATAAGAAGTGGTTGAACTAAACGCGCAATTTGTTCAATAGATACAATGTATTTCATTGTAGGCGAATGACAGCCGGTTTTGTTGATCCAACTGCTTTTTTCTCAATATTCTCTTTTAAGATTAGGGAAACTACTGTATCGTATTTACAGTGATAAGGACGCGAAATGGTTAGGAGCCAGTAAAGGGTTACAGATACACTCTCCTAAGAGTCGATATTCGATCGCGATAAAAAAAAAAGAAAGAAATGATTTCAACGAAATCATTTCACCAGGCATCATTTCTTCTTTCGCGAAATCGCTCGGTCCCTCTTCAGTCCCGAGCGTTCGACAATTCGATGGTCGGTAGTAGTACACTTATACACACTCTCGCTTATCTCTGAGACTGAAAGTGAAATGTGTCTGTTCGTTTGACCGTGCGATGTAACTGTAAGCGGACGGGACTCGTCGAGGATCACAAGGACGATGACGGCGACAGTGACGTCATCACTATGCCACTAATCTACCTCGACAGAGCGCGACTATCTTTGATAATCGTCGCGGACTGCCCCTCACGAGTGTCGTCAACGACGAAACTACTTTCCGTCGTCTCCCGCGGGGAATAAGACGCGCGTGTTTCGGCGCTGCTTGAGCGCAGTCGACGATCTACCTCCGCACCGCGGTCTTCTCGCACACCACACGTCGGGAGGTGTTCTCGTTCTCGGGGGCTGAATGTACTTATACCTTTACCGTCACACCTCGATCTCTTCTGCTCTCCCGACTTCACCGTCACTCCTCGTGACGCGGGGTCAGGTCTCTACGTGCCTCGTAATTCGACGCGCATTCAGTTGGAAAGCCGAGCCCGAAGCTAAAAGCACGGGATCCTTTTCTGGAGACTCCGCTAGTGAAACACCTTATATCAAGTCTTATCCGCCATAATTTAACTTCCGGCAGTTTTGTATATCGGTAACCTTTAATTTATCGCAGTGGAGATAATCTTTGGAAGTTTATCAATTGGAAATTAATCGCGGAGAAGAAGATATGTGCTTCCGTTGGAAAGCTAAACCTCTTTGAATGTGATATCGAAAGAAATGTTGCATCAATCTGGCCCCACTCATGAATCCTCTACCTCGTATTTTATCGTTTTGACTTGAGTTCTTAAGTTTGTGAGAAATCTCGATGTCCTCTTGCCTCTTTTTTTTTTCTTTCTACTCCCCACTCCTTTTTTCTCTCCTCCTTTTCTTTCACTGTATTTGCATTTTTGTCGCTTCTTACTCCAACTCTGTCTGAATAATCGAGTCCTGTGAGACTCTCGGCAGAGGGATGACTCCTCACGGAGGGAGGATCTGTATATGGCCCTGGCGATACATCTAGATTCTCTCTCTGTTTCTCCCTTTCCTTCACTCTCTCTCTCTCTCTCTCTCTCTCTCTCTCTCTGTCTTTCTCTCACTCACACAAACATACATACAGACACATACGACTGCTCGGGAGAAATTGCGGGGGCTCAGAGACATTGGGAAGCGTCCGACAGAAATCCCATTCTCACTCTTTCGCTGGAGCGAAAAATGAGAACACAAAAGGAAAAAAAAAAAGAGAAGCTTCTGTTAGAGTTCACTTCCATCGTGGAATGAAATTAATGACGAGCGCGGACAAGAGTAGCGCTAGACAGATTAGATTACTTCTATGTTCTCCACCGAGCAACAGCGTCGAGCGATCGAGCGGCGAACACGCGACGATGACGATGACAATGACGACGACGGCGACAATGACGTCATTACGGACGGAGAGACCGAGAGAAGTACTCTCGCTCGATATTAAGTGTAAGTTTTATTTAATTTTATGTCGCTCCCATTTATTTATGAGCCTTGTAACTTAAAAGAAAGAAGGAACCTAGGGGTTCCGGATGCGCCTTCTAACGAGCACACGTCGACCGAACTCGTGAAGTCGTCGACCACGAGAAATCGTCTTTGGCATTCCGTGGAATCGCCAGCGCGTACTGAACTCGCGTATCCGGGGAGACCGAAACCGGTATTGCTTCGATGAGTCCGGACTATCTCCGCGCTACAGGCACGCGAGAGTGACCGCTCTGCGTTTTCTCAGCAAATCGGTTACTTCGATTAAAATTCAATCAAATAATGCGGACGACATGAAAACGCAACGAAATCGCGCCGGGCTGCATTCTTCTCTCTTTTCTCCCGTGGCGTGTCCGTGATCCAACTTGTCGAGATTATATCGGTTTTAATCTCTGCCGGTGCTTCCCTCCACGTTCCATTTTCCCGCGAGAAGACGGAATACTTTCGAGAGGCGAATTTGTCGACGACGAAAAATGTACTTAATCATCGGGATCTCGTTATCTCCGATGTTGTTGATCTTTCTCCGTCGTTTTCTCCGCGTTACTTCTCCTCCGTCTCTCTTTCGCGCGCTTTCCCCGCCGCATCCAGGTCGCTCCTTCATTCCATAGGGACAATACTCGTAATTGTGACACTGAGGTATCGATAGCGCAATGCTTCTCAGTGATGAAAGTAACGATAATTTTGGAATCTTCGAGGAACGATCGATCTAATATTCTCTCACTGAACGATCATCGGAATCGAATTAATTATTGACTTTGTGTGTTTGACACAATTATCATTAATTAATAATATATTATATGATTATGTCACGACGCCGCGTATATAACTTAACGATGCAATTACTACGACGGTGTGCCTAATCTTCCCTCCCCTCTCGTACGAGGATCAACGAGATACACAATGTTCGATCGCCGGAAGACGGAACGTGGTTGCCGAAAATTATCTTCTTTCTTCCTATCTTTCTCTCTCTTTTTTTTTAATAGTCACTTAACCACGTATCGTACCGAGATATCGTTCTTGACTAAACATCGTTGATTTCGAATGCGTCTGCTACTGCCAGCGTTAACACACGTGAACAAATAAAGACACAAAAAGGAGAAGAAGAAGCCACTAACGACACAGAAGGAGCTGTGAAAACTCGTTAGGTCGTTAGGTCTTCTTTGAGTTGCGACTTTCGGTCGCCTCGATATAAGGGCGACATAAGGGCCGCCGTAAACGGCAAATGGCATGTAAATTAAATCGCGACGCCGTGTTATTCACCATTCTCGTGCGCGCATACAGATTAAGAAGCTATGCACCGTGAAGTACAAGCAATTACGATTGGATTAATTAAAGTGTTAGGTGAGAGATAAATCGTTCGTAGAATTTCAAGTTGTATGTTTTTAATTATATTTCCGAACCCCAGGAAATATTTCGTAGTGTAAAAATAACGCGCTGTAATGTTTCGCGTGATAATAGTTCTTTCTCTTTCTTTCTCTCTCTCTCTCTCTCTCTCTCTCTCTCTCTCTCTCTCTCTCTCTCGATTAATAGATAGATAGATAGATAGATAGATGGATGGATGGATGGACAGACAGATAGCTACATAGAGATATAGTCGTCTTGAAATAAAAAATATCACATTTACGCGGGGCAAGAGTGATTGTAAATGTACACCATAAGATGCCATGGGAAGGATCAGAAAATCTCGTGACTCTTCTAAGCCTGAGGAAGAATTTCTCGTTGGGACGACAGGCGGCCCTTATGTCGTGGATAGCGAGTCAAATCTGGATGCATACCGTTCTTCAGTTAATTCAATAGCATCGAGTTAGAATTCCATTCGCTCTTACCGTGTAAGATCCGTATTACCTCTCGTATATAATTTGTCGCTCTGCGTAACTTCGTGTTATCGGAGCATAATCTTACATACATGATCTGTTCGATAGAGATCTCGCAGATTTCTATTATCTGTTTTCAAGAATTCCTGAAGATATTTTTTGAAATTTGTTTTTTACCTTTATTTGCGCTTCATTCCTCTCCTTTCTTATGCTTTTGAGTTATCCGTATGTGCGTATACATGTATAAAGACTAAGACTAAATACTGATTAAAAGCTACGATAGAAACCCGCGTGAAATGAGGACACTTGACAAATTGACCAGCGACTAGTGTAATACGGGCCTTACAAGTCTCATGAAGCGACACGCCATGTGTGTTCGTACGCGATCCACCGATTATCCTCGGTGCGATCCCGCGGATCCTCGATACATCGGCTTCCCTTCGGCTGGTGCGATTTTATCCCTGAATCTCACAATTGGCGTCACGTTTCGTTCGCGCGTTGCGAGCGTGTGATCGGCGCGACAAAGGCGTGCGCGTTTGGAAATTACATCAGCATAAGCTGGATTCATAATGAATCGCGATGTAGCAAACGAGAGAAGACATTCTGGTTTTTAATATCAACGTATCATTAGTCTGTTATTGAAGAGAGGAAATCCTAACATATAAATATAAAGAAAGATATATATGTATATACATATGTGTATATGTATGTATATACACACATGTATATACATATATATATAATTCATATATATATATCTACATATATATATATATATATATATATATATATATATTATTTATAGTTGACGATCGATTTAATGATATACGCGTAGGTTATATATATATATATATATATATATATATATAGGTTATATATATATATATATAGGTTATATATATATATATATATATATATATATATATATATGAATTAGTAATATATATTATTAATTATTGTTATTATATAAAATAAAGTTTAAGACACGTTAATCAAATATCAAGTCCGATAGAAAATCAGCGGAGGGGGTGATGATACCATGATGAATATCTTCGGATTTTTCCTCTTCTCCTTCGCTCCCTCTCTTCCTCTTCCCTTCTCCTCCTCGCTCCACTGTCCTTCTTTATTTTTCTCCCTCGAGGATTTGTATCTCGTTTACCACCCCCTCCGCCTCTAAAAGCAAGCGAGGTGCATCGAACTGTGCCTCGGGTCGCGCGCGAGTCGCTTTCAATCTCTTCTGCGCGTCATCGATTAAAATTATCGAGGAAAGGAAAACGAAAACGAGATTTTAGGTGCGAGAAGGTGGTTTATTAATGGAGGAGAAGGGGGAAAAAGAATGGAACATGTGTACCAAGTAGAGGGGGCGGGGAAGGGGAGACTGGACCCCTGTTTATCGTTCGTCTGGGTCCCGCGACATGCGTGCGACGAATATCTTTCTCTCTCGACTCAGTAATTACGTATTCACAATGAAAAAGAAAGTTGCACAATGATCGACTTGGTCTAATAAAACGATACTAAATCTTTTCCACGCTTGGCTTGTTGCTGAATCAATCTCTCTCTCTCTATTTCTCTCTTCTTTTTCTTGATCCGGATGTCGTCTATCGAAATACACTCCATCTCTCTCCTTTCCGATATCTCGCGCTGTTGCGCTCGATCCCTCTTATTGTGACCATTTTCGAACCTATTTAAAACCGTCCTTTTCAAATATTGCTTTCGGACACAACACGTGTTTTTCTCTCCAATTGACAGCGCTACTCGTGTAGTGATCGACTTAGGTTTAGGATTGGCAAGAAGGATCCGGACCAGTTTCCGAGCGCCTCTAAAATGAGACGCTTTCGTTGATATCGATAACACTACTTTTAGGCCAGGTCGTTCCAGGTAGGATCAAACGTGATCTGTGTTGGTTTTGTGGGCAAAGCCCAATTAGCGCAATGATCCTCGTTTTAATAACACATGCGAAACGAATATAACAATACCGTACGTCGCAGACGAGCGATTTACGTTGATCTTTCGATTGATCGACAGCGATCTGTTACTTTCTACGTCCAATCTCTCTATCTCTTTCTGTATCTCTTCTCTTTCTATCTCTGTCTATCTTTCTTGTTCTCTCTCTCTCTTTCTATCTCTCTTTCTCTCTCTCGTGCTCTCTCGTGCTCTCTCTTTCGCATATTTGGATATTTTAAAATTCTCACTATTACTGTATATGTATGTGTGTAAAATATGGAATAATTCAGAATCACAACGCGCAACCGGAAACGTAGCTTATCGAATTAAGACACCGGCGTGAATCTGATCTGTGATAACTTAGAGACAATTGTGACAATAATTGTTGATAATCCCGATGAACACTTTGTCGAGTCGGGAATAACCGAATCGATGTAAGAGCATTATTTTTGTACACGATATACTTCTCGTTTAGTTTCACATATCGCGAAGATCGAATCTAGATCTGCTTTTGGCATTACATTACGACGGACACGAGTCGTTTATTCTACGGGTTTTGCGATTGGAGATACCGCGGAAATAAATTACTAATCTCTACTGTTTCTACCCGAGTCGAGATTTTGGTCTTGCATTGAGCCTGCAAGTTCTGAACGAACTTGAAGGACCAACGGAGAGGATCTCGAGATATATTATGCTTTACAGATTATTGACTTTTGGTGCTACAGGTGGTTACTTGCGCCGCTCTGTTGAGGCTTGAGGAAAGACATATTTAAGAATTATTTGACATTCGATTATCTCGACAGACTGTCTGCATTTAATCTTTTGTAAATTCTTAATTCTAATAAGCAATGTATTAATTACGCAATTTGTTCTGTTGCAGATGGAATATTGCGATAAGCAAATATTAAGTGATCTAATATCTGTCTTTCGCTTCTATTTAGCTTTGTTATTATGCCGAGTCTTTATATTTATAAGTTTATATTTTTATTATTTATACAACTTCTATCTCTTTCCTTTGGCCTTACATAATGCTTTCTTTCTCGCCTCTCTTGAATATTCAAATATCACTGAAACTTTCAACGTAAAAAATAACTAAAAAGGATATCATAATAAAAGTTTGTTACTTTGTTTACCAATTTACCTTATTATTTTTGTCCATATTAATTAATTTATCACATATCTATCCGCAAATTAAGTGAATAAGTTGTATGATTAATATATTTTTCTTATTGAAATTAAAAATAAAGGTTAATTGGAGGTAGAACACTGAGACAATATCGGATAGGAAATAATTCTTGAGAAAGTATTTGTTCAAGCCTTAAAATGGAGGAAATTCCGATAAATGACCGTTTGTAGCATCAAGGTAGATCGTTAGTCAGTGTTGTATCTCGAGATTCTCTATTGATCCTTCTAATATCGACAATGTTTGCGGGATTAATGTTTAAGGAAAATTTCGACTCGGATACATGTACTTTCTCATCGGCCACGCAACAACTCTGTGCACATCTCTCTTTTTCGTAACTCCAATTGTTCACCGACTTACACCGACTCTCTGTATATCTCTACGTCTATGCGCTTGTCTGTCTGTATATTGATTCACTTTGGCACGGCACTCTCGCTCGTACTTTGTCCCTCATCAATTATCCTCGAAGTCGAATTGCACCGACAGTCTCGGAGAAAATGAATCCCGAGTTAACGATTTTCCGTTTCTCTTCGGATTACGCGGTTTCATCCGCGATGTGGAAAAGGAAGGAAAGTTGGATTAACCGGGATCAGCGTGCTGGCATTCCGCACTGTTACGGCAATGTCTGTTTAACTTCAATTGTCTTAATTATTGAGAAATTGCGCTTATATATACGTACATGAGAGTGATGAATTAATGGAATCGTTTTCAGCACATGCTTTGAAAGAAAAAAAAGTTTATTCAACTAAAATTATATAGTTTATTTTGACCTCAATCATATATTTTAGTTTTTCCAACCAAAATGGTAACGCGCATATAAGACTGTTATTACTAACATAACAGAATTTAACAAAAAATGGTTTCCTTGATTATAATTTATAGTAATTATTTCTCTATGTGATTATATAGATACAGTGCTAAGCATTTTTTTTCTCAGTACGGAGTTCCCTTTTCGCGCGAGACGTTTATTACCAATCGAGTAGATATTTAATTGTTACAGTTAACACGCAACATTTCTCATTACTTTGGTGGGCTGTATTGTCAATCAATTATTAATAATTAAGGTATATTGAAGGGAAGACTGATTGTGTCAGTGCGGAATAGCGGAAGCAACTTTTGGTGCAATTTCGAAACTTTCAACTTCTAAGCTTTCGGTCGAACGGACCCGATCGCGCGGCTCGGCTTACAGAAGAAAAAATAACTACTCGGCATAAGGAGCACTCGGCGATTCGATTTAGTTTACGTCGTATACGGAGCGCGGATATGCAAAATTGTACTCGCGACATTCACGAGGTTTCGGCTTTGCGAAGCTACTTGTCATATCGGGGGAGTGGATTAGCGACGAACCAGAATCCTTAGAAAGAAATCGACGACATATTCCCGACACATTCCTGACGCGTTCTCGAGCGGGGAGAGTCCTGAAACCGGTGAGAAGACGTGACACCACCATTAAAGTCCGATACTCTCACAGCCACACTGACTACTTGCGCAAACATCAGCATTTCAATGAGACACCGACGAGAATGTCACCCTTAACCCTCAAGCTCGCGTTCCGCGGGTAAAAGAGATTCGATATCGCGATTGAATCTTTAACTGGTATGCTGGGGAATATCGTGATACACACATATCTCTCGTATGGAAGACGGGAAGCATGATTATGAATGTTCCTGAGATAAATGGAGAAGCTCGTATTTTGTAGAAATTGTTTGAGGAGACTTTATTAGCAAAGTACTGAGGAGATATTTGTATATTGAGAGAAATTATCCGATAAAAAAATTAACAAACGGATATTTTCAAAATATTGATGAATTTTTATATCCGATCGGGATATTATTAAATTGAATCGAATACTTTCGATTATAATGGCATTTTATCAGATAAACCGATGAAAAAATTATAAACGGATTTTCTCATCAGATACAAAAATTTATCGGTATTTTGATTAGAAATATCCGTTTGTTCATGTTTTTTATCGAATAATTTCTCTCAGTGTATTAATTACGTGCAGTATTCGCTCCAAACATTTCTCAAATGTATTTAGTAATAAAAGCATTT